CCCATCTCCTTGGATATCAACCTCGGAAATGCAGTCCACCTCCTTTGAGACAGAATCTCTCATTGGCCCGGAGCTCACCAGTTAGACGAGACTGGCTGGCCAGTGAGCCTCGGGGATCCTCCTGTTTCCACATCCCGGCACTGGGGTTACAAATGTGTGCCGCCAGACCCACTTCTTTATGTGGGTTCTGGAACTCAAGTCCTCAGGTTTTACTGATGATCTTCTCAGACCTTCTAAATACCTTTTTAATAAAAGAAAGATACCAGGCCAGCTGTTGGCAGCTGGCCTCCAGGGATCCCCTGCCTTGGACTCCATATCCCTTCCCATACAATGTAAATTTGATGTGCATGGGGTGGGGAGGCACATGTGGTGATGAAGAGAATGAGGGACCAGTAGCCATACAAGCAAGTCCAGAGTCCGCCCTTCTCCACCCTTGTAAGCACACCCTCAAGGCCTGCAGCTGTACCCCACTGCCAGCCTGCCATGGATCTGGAGCCCGAGCCATCCAACACGTGCCCAGAAGTCCAACCTTCAGACACTGGAGACAGCAAAGGCATGTTTAAGCCACTAACTTTTGAAGGGTAGGGAACTTTGCTACACAGCAGAAGCTGACTGGCACAGAGCCCATGCCCAGTGAAAACTCCTATGTCTAGAACCATACCCCTGGCATGACCCATGGTCCAGCCCCACCACCTTCCAGTAGCATCCCTACCCTGAGACACACACAACCCAACGACTCTGCCCGCAGCGAGCCTTCAGAACAGCCCCCATCTTCTCCCCAGCCTGAGCACCAGCCAGAAGAAGAAGGCTTTCTAAAGGTTGACCCCGTGATTCCATGAGCTCCACCTGCCTATCACCCCAGCAGGCCGACTCTCCCACAGACCCAGATACGCTGGGGTCATGAACTCAGGAGGCAAGGGATGTATGTCCATGGAGTGCTTAGTAGCAGTCTAAGATGCAACAAGATCCAGCCTGTGGAGTGTTTTTTTTTAAATAGAGATTTTCTTTTTTTTCAACCTGAGAGGCCAGCTTCTGTCTTTGTTTAAATTTCCCAACTGCTAAGGGGATATGAAAGTCTCACGGCTGCCCACTTCCTCGTGGGGGCCAGGATGGAGAGGTGAAAGGGCTTTTCAGGACTCTTTCTTGCTTGTTCTTTTAGGGGGACAAGTGTTTGTGCCCTTTATTCAGACTGCATAGGCACAGAACGCCACCTCTCCCTGCAACCAGCCCAGCCTATCCCAGCAAACACCAACTATTGACAGGGACGAGAGGAACCCATCTCCATGTCGTCTGTAAAAATCCGAACAGCCTGGCCTGGTACAGTCCCTTTCGGTAGGAACAGAAACCATGGAAACGGAGTGAGCACACCCCACAGGGCATCAGAAAGGGGTGCAGAAGAGGGGCTTTCTGGCTAGAGCAGGGGTGGGGCTGGCGAGGGAGGAGTTTGGAGCTCGGCACGACCGAATGGAAACTGAAAAGCTGCCAACAGAACTGTAGTAGAGGGAGCCAGAAGGCACACGGGACGTTTGCTGAGGAATGGAAGGACTGAGGCATCATTAAACTAACTTGCCTGGGCTTCCAAGAGACAATGGGATTCATTTAATGAGGGAGGCCCCGACACTGCAAAAACCTAAATTAATTCTTTGCTCGGCAGTTCACGGGGGCGGGGGTGGGGGGGTGGATGAGAAAGAAGTTGTCTTCAGAAATCAAAACACTTCTTTTTTTCCCCTCCAAGACAAAAATCAGAGGGAAAAGAGGAAGGGGTAGAAAGAAGAAGAAACCAGAGTGACGGGAAATGGTGTTTTTATTATGGTGTGGGAGTGAGAATTTCTCAGGCACAAACAAACTTTCAAAATCAGTCCAGTCCTGTGCTTCGAGCCCTGGCTGGCTGCTCCCCCAGGATTCGTCCAGAGGTCTCTGGGGAAAGCTGCTCCTGGGACCCCTGAGACTTCTATCGCCTGTGCCTGGCCTCATCCCCCAAACTCAGTTCAGCTGGCCAACTCCCTGGCTGGGTTTTCTCCTGGTGATTGAAAACACACACATCAATCTTTTCCAGATGCCTGCTGTTGCTGTCCTGTGATTTGGGGCTTCTGTTACCAGGCAGAATAGAATCAAGATGAAATTGAGGCCTGCCAGCACAGGCAGGTCCCCTTTCAAAGAGCCCGACTCATAAAAAAACGGGTGCAAGAAATACTCAAGACAGCTGGCATGGTCTTCTGGGGGTGTCGGTTCCTGGGTGTTAGAGAAGAGGGTGGGCCTGTCCTGCGGGGATCCTGATGGTCTCTGTTTGCCGTGATGTGCCTCCTCAGAGGGGTGGGTTCTGGAGCACACACCTAGGGATGGCTCCAGCACACCCATGAGCTGCGTGCTGTTATTAAGTGGGTTTGTACACAAACCTTGCTACCCACAGTGCAATTTTGACTGAAGACAGGAAAGACATTTTCCAAAAGCGAGCCACCAGTCCGCAAGGGTACTGACGCCAGTCCTCATCTCCTGGCTTCCTGCCTGGCCCTGGCCTATCCGGGGCTTCCAAAGACAGCGGCTAGGCTGGTCCCGCCCACTCCCACTCCCTCCTCTCCCCTTCCCCCCACCCCCAAATTGTTGCTCTGGGCAACATCTTCCCAGGCAGGCCTGCCTCTCTTGACCTCTGTACTCTTCATCCCCCCAGATGGCCTCCAAGGGAACGCAGAGCTCAGATTTCTTCAGTTACAATAGGACTTCAGACATAAATCCACTCTTCTGAAATTTCATTTCGGCTCTGCATAACCTAGAGGCAAAGCAGCTACACATAACCACTAAGAAATACATGTGTAGCTCAGCTGGTAAAGCATTTGCCTGGCATTTACAAAACCTCCTTCAGCATAACCCAGGCACGGTGGCACACGCCTGTCACTCAGCACTAGAGAGGTGCACGCAGCAGGATCAGGAGTTCAAGGTCATCCTCAGCAACTTGGCAAGTTTGAATCCAGCCTTTAGAGACCTAAGATTCTGTGTCAAAAGAAAGAAAGAGGGGAAAAAAGGAATGAGGGAGGGGAAAGAGAGGGAGGGAGAGGAAGAGGAGGGAGGGGAGGGGAGGAGGGAGAGGAGAGATTTAAAGTTCAGGAAGGGTGGGAACAGCGGTAGATTCTAACTCCTCGGGAAGTGTCTACGGTCTGCTGCCTCAGGCCGCCTTCCACCTGCCTCCTGAGCTGCCCCCAGCCCTGCTCCACCTCTGCTGACTCCCCTGCTCCCACACCTTCCAGCTCCAGAAATAGAAAGCCTCACTTCTGAAGAGATCATGAAATCCCTATCAGTTGCAGACACTGAGCGCGCACCGGGCGGGGCTCTTACCTTTATGCACCCCCATCATCTCTCTGGTTTCATCGCTCCACTTCTGGTTTTGGGCTACTCATCTTCGCCATTGTCCTTTTCAACCTCTGGAGTCGTTTAAACCCCTAAAGGTTCTTCTGAATTCACTGCGGCTTTGGCCACAGCCCCTGGGTTTGTTCTCCCATGTGTGGCTCTCTAGAAACTTCCTTCTTTTAGCTGTGCCATCCAGGACTGACCATTGACCCTCTGGATCACCCAACCCTTGGATCAAAAATGAGAAAATGACTTCTGGCCAGGGATGGTGACATGTGCCTAAAGTTCCTGCCCTTGGCAAAGCCAAGGCAGTCAAGGGGATGATGAGTTTGAAGCAAGGCTAGGTGTGGTGGCTCCTACCTGTCATCCCAGCATGAGGAAGCTGAGGCAGAAGAGTTGCCATGAGTTCAAAGTCACCCTGAGCTACAGAGTAAGAGAGACTCTATCTTTAAAAAAAAAAAAAAGCAGGCTGAGAATGGGCTCACGTGGTAGACAATTACCTAGCATGCACAAGACCCTGGGTTCAGTTCCTAGCAATACATAGAACTAGGTGTATGGTGTACTCCCATAATCCCGGCTGAAGGCAGGAGGACCAGAAGTTGTCATCTTACATAGCAAGTTTGAGGCTAGGTTGGGCTCCATGAGACCTGGGCTGTTCAAAGAAACAAATAACAACAAAACCAAAACCACAGCAGACCCTGTCTCCGAACAAGCCTGTCTCTGCACTGAACACACGGAGACTTTGTCCTCTATGTGACAGCCACCACGTTGGGTCAGGGGTCATAACGGAGGGGAGCTGGAGTGCACGGGAGGACGTGCGGGTCACACGCAAGCACGACACCGTGCACACAGCAGCAGACTTGAGCACTGGGTCTACAACCCATTCCCCAGGCACACCAAGGCTCTGCCTGGGACCCTCCCAATAAAACCAGGGCCCGGCTCAATGAGTTGTTACAAATGTGTCCACCTGGACACAACCACCCCTCTGGAGACACAGAGCCCTTCCTGGGGGGCTGCTTTCCATTGCTCATCTTTAAGCTAAGTGATTATGATCAGCATACGGCCTGCTCACATAATTTTAAAGTTGTGAAGGTTTCCTTTGAACTCAAAAGAATACCCACCCAAAAGAACTCTGTTTGTCTTTTGTTGGGTGGGTTGGGTTTTTAAGGAAGAAGGGGTTGGATTGGCCAGCTGGCTCAGTGGGCAAAGGTACTTGCAGTCAATCCAGATAACCTAAGTTCAACCCCCAGGACCTACATGGTAGAAAAAAGAAATCAACTCCCAAAAGTTATCCTCTGGTCTCCACACATGTGTCATAGTGTGCATGTTTGGGGGAGGGGGGCATATACACACACAAACACACACACACACACACACACACACACACAAGCACATACACACACACACACACACACACACAATTAAATAATAAAGAAACTTACCCCCCCAGGGGGAGAGGTGCTGGGGAGATGGCTCATCATATCTGAGTTTGGGTCCCCAGGGCTCATAAGAAGCTAGCATGTAGTATAGGCAGAGTTTCTCTGTCCCACCAGTTGCTCCCCAAATAACCATACAGAAACTTATTATTAATTATAAATGCTCAGCCAATAGCTTAGGCTCATTTTTTAGCTAGTTCTTATAACTTAAATTAACCCATTTCTATTCATCTATGTGCTTCCCATCCTGCTTGCTCTGTCTCATGGTGTCTCCTCAGACTCCACCCTCCTTCTTCCCAGCATCCCCCTAGTCTGGCTCTCCCTCCCAGTCTCTTCCTGCATAGCTATAGGCCTGTCAGCTCTTTATTAGCCAATGAGAGTAATATATATTTACAGTGTACAAAGATTTTTTCCACAGCATGGTAGCATATGCCAATAATCCCAGCACCAGAGAGCCAGAGAGAAGAGGACCCCTGGGGCCTGCTCGCCAGCTAGTCTAAAGGAATCTATGAGCGCCAGGTTCAGTGAGAGACCCTGCCTCAAAATCTAAGGTGAAGAGCAAAAGGAACACACCTCATTTTAAGCTCCGACCTCCACATATGCATGTATCCCAACACACATGTGCATATACACGTGAACACGCATAACACACACACACACACACACACACCACCCCAGGTGACTTTCTTTAACCCACCACTGACCACACCTCCAACTCTGATTGGGCTGCCATGTTGTCAGGCATTTCTGTGCTTGCCCCCAACACACGGTCAGTTTGTGGCAGGGAGGGCCATCCTCTTGTTCTCGGCATCCCGGGGTGGACAGTCCTCAGTGTGGTAACACTGTCTTTTCTTCTTGCTGACTCGAGGCAAATGGTGGGCTCTCCCTCCTTGGGCCCTAGGAGCCTACAGGAATGGACACATGATTTAAGGTCCTTTGTCCTCAGGCTCCTCTCTGCAGTGGTGCAGTTCAAAGAAAGATGTGTTAAGTTGTCCTTCAAGCCCCCCCCCCTCCCAACACCTATTGACCTTTCTGTTGTGGGCTTGAAATATGCAAATTGCTGACACCAGGAAAGGAGCGGAGAGACAGGAAGTCGATGGGTCCAGTCAGGGCAGCAGGCATGGATGTAAGGAGACCTCAGGGCTGAGTGGCGCTGCACTTCTTCAGGCTGACAAGGGCTCTGAAATCCAATCGGGGCCCTTCCCAGGGGACAGAGGCTGCAGTCACAGTCACGTTGCCTCTTTGTCACTGAGCTGGCCAGCAGTCCCTGCTGAGGGATGGACAGGTAGGTGTAACACACAGATAGATACCCCGAGTCTCCTCATATCCCGTAAGCTCGGCCTTGGAGGATGAACAAGGCACCTGCTAGGAAGGAGGACCAGATGCTGCAGCACCGTGCACGTGAGAAAATCCTGTCCTGCCCAGCTGGGTGCCGCCACGCTTTCTCCAGCACTGGAGGTCCGTTCTTCCGGGGGCCCCCTGAGAGGTTCTTGCGCTAGGACTGGGTGTGACTGGGCCCCGCAGGAGACAGTCCCTCTCGGCCACCTCCACCACCCTTCCTCCCAGGACACTGGCTTCTCTCTGCTTGTGTGGGCCAGGCCTTCCCCGCCCCTCTCCTCCCCCCATGTGCTCCTGCTCCCCCGTTCTCCGGCCCCTCCCCCCACCTTGCTCCAGTCACTGGGAATAACAAATTTGAGAAGACCTGATAGAGCCCATGAGCACCACGTGACTCTCCTCTAATTCTTCCTTTTGCCTCAAAGGAAATGCCTCAGTTTGATACTAAAGTACATTTCATACCCTTCAAGCCAAGCTCCTCACCCTCTTAAAGAGGGAAGGACAGGCCCCGGCTTCATGCAGGCGCAGCCCCTCTGTTCAGGCCAACTGTTTTCATTTCTATGGTTACCTCAGAGCTACAGGCCGCTGGCTTCCTGTTTGCCCTGGTGATGGGGTTTTCTTTTCAATAGGAATGGCTTGGCGAGGGCAAACACAAGCTTATTTAAAGAAAAAAAAAATAGCCAACAAACCGTCATCCGAGGGGTGAGTAAATACAGGGGAAGAAGAGATGAGGCCAGGGAGTATGTTCAATTGGCAAACGGTGAGCTGTGCTCGGAAGTGTGGACCCCAGGTGCGACCCAAAGGCTGCCAGGCCCCCTCTGACAACCAGGCCCTGTCTCCTGACTGAGCCCCAGCTGTCTTGGCTATGAAGTGAGAAGGCGAACCCCTCTCGTGGGCTCCCAGGCAGATTGATGAGGTGGTGTGTGCAAGGCTCGGCATAGAACCACCAGCCAAGAAGTGTCCTCAGGACCACCACGGAGCAGGTAGGAAAAACGCCCCCTTAGACAATGGGATGGGGGCTGCTGCTGCTGCTGCTGCTGCTGCGGCGGCGGCGGCGACAGGACTGCTCACAGTCTAGGGACGTGAGCCTATGAAGCACTGGGCTTGGAACACGTGGTCTTAGGTTGAAATAAGCCCAGGAAGCCGGGGTGCTTTGAGAGCTGGGAGGAGGAGGTGAGGTTTACAGAGGGAGGGAAGACGGGATGGGGTTGCTAAGCAACACATCCAGAAGCTGGAGTTGGCAGACCGGTCTGGGAACCAGGACATCTGTAAAATCACACCCCCTGTGTTGCTCCATTATCACCAGTAAGGGAGCCGCTCTGGGGCCCTGGGACTTGGAATTTGGGAAGGTTGAAAAAGCGAAGGGAGCTGGCTTGGGTGGATGAATCTTGCCAGGAAAGGACCATGCAGCGTGCAGGAGGAAGTTTGGAACCTCCTTCCTTCAGACTAGCACCTCGCTTGGTCTTGACTATGGGCCAGGCTTTCTTACACACATATTTCCAGTTCTCTGAGCCAGTAATTCTACCTCCGCCTTAGACTGCTGGTCTTGAATTTTCTACACTTTAGCACACAAAAGAATCCCAGCTTCCTGAAACCAGAGCATGTGGGCCTAATTATGCTCCTGTTTAGGATAGGGAAACCGGGGTCCCAACTCAGGCTATTTTGTACTCTGAGTTTTGATGCTGTTGCCTTCTTTCTCCCAGATACCGAGTCCTTGCTCCCTCCCAGCCAATGAAAATGTAAAAAGAGACCATGCTTGTACTCAATTGGCTACATTTCAACTACAAGGCCGACTGGGAAATGTAGTCTAACAATGTAACCTAGTAGAGGCTTCTGGGTTCCCCGCCACTTATAGCACATGAATGAGGGACACCGAGGGCACCTAGAGGTGCTAAGAACCTCAGCCACACCAATGTGCCAAGACGTGCCTACCACACTAACCTGGCTGGCCAGGTCCTTCCTTAGGAGGGCAGAGCCTGGCTCTGGTGGGATCAAGCACTCTGCAATGTCCAGGTGAAATGGGTTTGGGCCACAAGTAGCCGTGGGGTCAACATCGACTGGAGCCCCTTTCTGGGACATCCAGGGAAACTGAGGTCTTCCTCGGTGCAGCTGGCCCCTGCTGTCCTGGGCACCTGAGGTAGTGCTGACCTGAGGAGACACTGGGCATCCACTCTGGGTGTGACTGGAGGCTCCAACCTCTGCACACCATGCCATTGGCCACCTGCTAAAACTACACCTCTCCTCCATCCACGGGTGCAGCCACCAGGGCCCCGGGCTGGTTTGAGCACTGGGCAAGCAGGAGACAACTGACTTGTAGATTCACAACCTGTCTGACTACGCAGGAACTTGTTTCCAGGAGGGCCACACATGGACAGCAGCAGGTCTATCAGAGGAGGTGCTATAGCCCACGGGCTGAAAGGGGCCCTTGTCAGATGGCCCAAGATGCTCAGAGACATTTGTCATGCAGGCAGAAGGAGCTGTGACAGCAGCCGTGGGGAAGGCATGAGACAAATCCACCCGAGGGGCCAAGAAACCGATGAGAGGAAGAAGAAGGGATGGCGGGTCCTGGAGACAGTGGGGAGGCACTCACGAGATTTCATTTGTTCATTCATTCATTCAGCAGATATTTACTGAGCCCTACTATGTGCCAAGGGGGGTGTCAAAGGCCAGCACAATCTGCCCTCGTCCACATGTCGGCAGGAAATTCAGGAAACACGCTGAGCTAGCACCTGCCTTGGGCACAGGACACCACAGGAGCGTCCCTCCTTCCTTTCTGGAGCTGAGACTGGAATGAGGGGCCTCAATAACACTCTCCAAGAGCAGGGGGGCAAAGAAATAAGGCAAGAGTTGAGGGAATGGAGACCTCCCTCCCCCTCAGGCTCCAAGTCTGCCTTTAGGGCAGGAGAAGCGGCCTGGTGCTAAGCTGCGGGGACCAAGATGCTGAGACTGAACAGGCAGTTCTGAGGTGGCACCAACTAGAGCAGCGAGCAGTCGAGGAGAGACAAGTGGTCAGAGCAGGTGGCGGGGAAGTGGCTCAAGAGAAGGATCTGGTGTTTGGAACTGAATACGGTGCATGGCAGAAGCCAGCAGAAACAAATGATGCACACCTTAGGAGTCAAATCAGCAGCTTGGTTCTATTAGGAAAGGCCTGGCCCCCTGGAATTGGGTCCGTTTGTGCCCCTGGATTTTGGCACCAGATGTATTCAAGGGCACATGGTAAGGAAACTGCCAGCATGACTGCTCCATGGCATAGTAAGAGAGAGGTTTTTATTGTGCCTAAGAGAAAATATCCAGAGGCATCTGGAAGAGTCCAGACCAGAGAGAAAAGAA